TCACATATTCCAAAAATTAAAATCCATCCATCCCTAGTTCAAAGAATTCTAGCCACACATGTTTATGATTTCAACAGCCATGAAAAATAAATCCCAGCAGAAAATCATAGTAAAAGGAAATCAGAAACAACAAAACCCAAACAATGGAGAATTGCTTGTCCGGAAGCAAGGCTGGGCGGTGAAGAAGCAAGGCTGGGCGGTGAGGAAGCAAATTTCAGGGTCCTCTTTGCAGATTGGATTCGCGTCCTCCGAGTAGGCTGGGCGGCGGCTTTTCCTCCAATGTGCAAAGCAATCTCGCGCGGCTGTCCTCTTCTTCTCTGGTGAACAACAGATGTGGGTGGCTGGGATGTGGGCGGCTGGGTGCTGTTGTGCAGAACAACTCTCTTGCGTCTGTGTGGCTCTCCTCTCTTTCTCGTCTGTGTGGCTCTATATATATCTCCCAAAAATTAGAAACCCCTTAACCCTAGCAGACATGGGAATTGGGCTTTGGTTTGGGCCTAAACTGCAGTTGGCCCACTCTTTAAAAAAAAACATAGCCCGTCTCTTTATTTCTGCACTGTCTATAGTTAAAACCGTCACTTTCAACTTAAATTCTGTATTGACACAGAAGGAATTGGGTTGAGCTCATAAAACATCAATTGTAGCTCTGCTTCTTAGCTTTCCAACGCCTAAAGAATCAACTCAATCCGATACCTAGAGAAAAAGATATGGTTAAATTACTGCAGTATGTGCAAATTGTCACTTATTGCAAAATTAATTCCTATCTTAATTTCCACCTACAAATAATGAATTTAATATAAACAAAGGTGAAACTAAGTTACAAAAGACCCATAAAATTTAATTCTAGGCTCAAAAAGGGTAGATAAATGCATATAAAAATTAAACTCATCAAGCTGCAACATTATGTGGAATTAGAAGATATGGTGCATATGGCGATGAAAGTAGAACGGCAACTTAAGTGTAAAAGAGCCACCATTAGAACTGGGCAAAATTCAAGTTCCTCATCTTTTTGGAAATTGAATTGGAGCAAAAAGGAAGAAAATTTTACTTTTAAGCTTAAAACTACAGCATCTAAGTCAAAAGAAGTTGGCAGCAATGAGAAGAGTAAGACAGATAATACGCAAGGCAGAAACTGAGACATCAAGTGTTTTCGATGCTTGGGAAGGGGGCATGTTGCATTGCAATGTCCTAATAAGCACACGATGATCTTGAGAGAAGATGGAGAAATTGAAACCGAGGGTGAATATGATGATAAATCTATGCCATCATTAGAAAATGCTGGTGATGGTGTGGAATATGCTGTTGATGGAGGACTGTTCATCATCAGGCCAACTTTGAATGTGCAAGCCAAAGAAGATGATGAAGTACAACGTGACAATATATTTCACACGAGGTGCCATGTCAAAAACAAGGTATGTAGTGTGATTATTGATGGTGGTAGTTGTACTAATGTAGCTATCACTGTTTTAGTTGAAAAGCTTAATTTACCTATGACGAAGCATCCAAGGCCATATAAGTTGCAATGGTTAAACGATTGTGGAGAAATCAAGCTAAACAAGCAAGTTCTAGTTTCATTCTCTATTGGACAATATAAGGATGAGGTACTTTGTGATGTGGTTCTTATGCATGCTGGACATTTATTTTTAGGGAGACCATGGCAATATGATAGAAGGTTAACACATGATGGCTTCAACAATTGCTATTCATTTGTCATGGAGGGGAAAACAATTACCCTTGCACCATTGACTCTAGGGCAGATTTATGAGGATCAACTGAGAGTAAAAAAAGAGAAATGAGAGTGAGCTTGAGGGTATGAAAAACAAAGAGAAAATAACAGAAAAGAGTCCAAAAAGAGAGAAAAGATTGAGAGTGTTGAAAACAAAGAAAGAAAATCAATGAGTGTTTATCCAAACGAAAGTGATGTCAAGGCTGCATTCTTTCCAAGGCAGCCTATGTTTGTGCTTCTATATAAAGATGCTTGTTTCAACACTAATGAACTTAATCATTCTTTGCCCAGTGTTGTTAAATCTCTTTTACAGGACTTCAAGGACGTGTTTCCAGAGGACATCCCTAATGGTTTACCACCAATAAGAGGAATTGAACATCAGATTGACTTCATTCTAGGTGCAACAATTCCAAATCGACCAGCATATCGAAGCAATCCCAATGATATGAAAGAACTTTAAAAGCAAGTTAAAGAACTCATGAAGAAAGGGCATGTGAGAGAAAGCATGAGTCCATGTGCAGTTCCAGTGCTACTTATGCCTAAGAAAGATGGGACTTGGCATATGTGCGTTGATTGTCATGTTGTCAACTTGCGTATTCACTAAAATTGATTTAAAAAGTGGGTATCATCAAATTAGGATGAAGGAAGGTGATGAATGGAAAACAACCTTTAAAACGAAACATGGTTTATATTGAGTGATTAGTTATGCCATTTGGATTAACTAATGCACCTAGTATATTCATGTGATTAATGAATCATGTTTTGCATGCTTTCATTGGCAAATTTGTGGTTGTTTATTTTGATGACATTCTGATATATAGTAAGAGTTTAAGTGATCATATTGAGCATCTACGAATGGTGTTAGAGGTTTTGAGAAAAGAAAAGTTGTTTGCTAACCATAAAAGTGTTCCTTTTGCACAAATCAGATTGTCTTTTTAGGGTATGTTGTTTCAACTGATGGAATTGTAGTAGAGGAAGAAAAGATTAAGGCTATTAAAGAATGGCCAACACCTAAGAATATTTTTGAGGTGTAGAGTTTTCATGGTTTGGCAAGTTTCTACCGAAGATTCATCAAGGACTTCAGCACAATTGCAGCTCCATTGATTGAAATCGCGAAAAAAAGTGTCGGATTTAAGTGGGAAAGGGAACAGGAGAATTTAATTTTTGCACCATTACTTGCTTTAACTGATTTTATTAAAACTTTTGAAATTGAATGTGATGTATTAGGTATTGGCATTGGCGTTGTTTTGATGCAAGACCGGTGGCCTATTGCCTTTTTCAATGAAAAATTGACTGGTGCAGCACTTAACTATCCTACATATGACAAAGAGATGTATGCATTGGTAAGGGCCTTAGAAACGTGGCAGCATTATCATTAGCCTAAGGAGTTCGTGATACATACTGATCATGAGTCATTGAAGCACCTCAAGGGACAAGGTAAGTTGAATAGACGGCATGCTAAGTGGGTGGAATTCCTTGAGACATTTTCCTATGTGATCAAGTACAAGCAAGGAAAAGAAAACATTGTGGCTGATGCACTATCTCATAGGTACACACTTATCTCTACTCTAAGTGTAAAGTTATTGGGATTTGAGCACATTAAAGAATTATATGCTAATGATCCAAATTTTGCTAATGTGTTTAATGCATGTTAGAAGGCAGCTTCTGATAAGTTTTATAGGCATGATGGGTTCTTATTTAGAGAAAGTCGATTATGTGTGCCTAACTATTCATTAAGAGAATTGTTAATAAGGGAATCACATGCGGGTGGCTTAATGGGACATTTTGGAGTTAAGAAAACTTTTGATATTCTGAACGATCATTTTTTTTTTTTTGGCCACATATGAAATGCGATGTTAAAAGGATGTGTGAAAGGTGCATAACATGTAAACAAGCAAAATCTAGAGTTTTACCACATGGTTTGTATACTCCCTTACCCATACCTACTGAACCTTGGGTTGATATATCTATGGATTTTGTTATGGGCTTACCAAGGTCAAAAAGAGGCCACAATTCTATTTTTGTTGTTGTTGACAGGTTCTCGAAGGTGGCACACTTCATTCCATGTCATAAAACTGATGATGCAACCAATATTGTTGATCTGTTCTTCAAGGAAGTTGTTCGTTTACATGGTGTTTCAAGACTATTGTTTCTGATTGCAATGTTAAGTTCTTGAGTTACTTTTGGAAGATCTTGTGGGGAAAGTTGGGAACTAAGATATTGTTTTCAACTACTTGTCATCCACAAACTGATGGACAAACAGAAGTGGTTAATAGGACGTTGTCAACCTTATTGCATGCTATTATTCAAAAAGACTTGAAGAATTGGGAAGAATGTTTGCCGTATGTTGAGTTTGCTTATAATCAAAGCGTTCATTCAGCAACTAACTATTCACCATTTGAAGTTGTGTATGGTTTTAATTCACACACCCCTTTGGATTTATTGCCATTACCCATTGATGAACGAGCTAGTTTGGATGGCAAAAAGAAAGCTGAAGTGGTTAAGCAACTACATGAGAAGGTGCGACAAAACATAGAGCAACAAACTGAGCAATATGCAAATCAATCCAACAAAGGGCGCAAGAAAGTTGTGTTTGAACCTAGAGATTGGGTTTGGGTGCATATGTGGAAAAAGCGATTCCCTGCACAAAGGCGCTCTAAAATGCAACCAAGAGGCGATGGATCATTTCAAGTGATTGCAAGTATAAACGACAATGCATACAAGTTGGAGCTTTCTGGTGAGTATAATGTTAGTGTTAGTTTTAATGTTTCTGATCTTTCTCCTTTTGATTTAGGTGACGATTTAAGGACAAATCCTTTTGAGGAGAGAGGGAATGATGGGAATCAAAATAACCCCAGATGTACCATGTCAAGAGATCCATTACACATTCTAGGAGGTCCAGTCACGAGAGCTAGAGCTAGGAAGATGTGAGAAGCTTTAAATGGCCTTATTGAGCAGATCTGGGTCGATAACAACATGCAACAAGTAAATCAAACCTTGGATGATTATCAAGGCATGTACATCATTTATATTCAAGAGAAACTTAATTGAGGTCATTTATGCTAAAGTACACAATTTGCATAAAAAACCCGCAATTCTGTTGCAATTTGTAACAAACTAATATTTCATGTTGCTTTAGGTTACTTTTAGTGATTTTCACCTTTTTTGTACTATTTTGGGCTGAACATTCGTTTATTTGAGGCCCCATTCATGGTTATTAGGATTAGGGTTTAGGGTGTTAGTTTCCTATTCTGATTAAAATTACTTTTCCCTATTTAAAGGCTTGTAACTCTAATTGGGGGGAGCTATTTTGAATATGAGATTTTGAGAGACTTTTCTCTTTGCTTCGTTTCAGAACTTTATAGAACTTATCAAGATTATTCTTGTGGTGTTCTAACCTGACTTATCATTCTTGTTTTTAATCGTTCGAAGGTGTGGCGTCAACCAACTTTATACCTCTAGTTTTTATTGCGTCATAGACAAAGGGTCAAGGTTTGTACCTTTGGTTCTTGTTGCGACATAAACAATGGGTTAAGGTCCTATTATAAACCTGATTTAGCTTTCCTAGAATTTAGAAATCCCTTGTTGGGCTATGGGTCTCATTGTTCTCTTTAGGGTTCTCATCAAGTGTTTTGATGCTGAAACTTCTGGTCAATTTTGAAGTCTATATGTGCTTTCATTGAAATATATATGTGCTTTGATTAATTCATTCTCGAAGTGTTTTGTCATCATAAAAAAGGGGGAGATTGTTGTACCTATGATTTTGATGATTACAAAATGCATTTGAGTGATTAATTGGTTCATTTAAGTGTGTAGAGCGGTGGCTTAAGAAAATTTGTAGCCAACTTTGGAAGGTAAAATTGTAGAGAGCCAATTCTAGAAGCTATAGTCAGCTTTACGGGTGAAAATTTCAAGTCTGTTGTTTAGTGCGCGCAGAAAACAAGCTCTAACTTTACAGCCAGCTGTGAGGGCACATTAAATGCACAACAGTCAAGTTATTTGAAGATTTCTTTAATATTTCAAAGTTGGATTTCCAACGCTGGCTTTACATTTTGCAGTCGGCTCTTGAGGAAAACAGAATGTGTGGGAAACTCGCAAAGCCGGCTTTACGTCTTATAGCCGATTCTTCGAGAAAAATAGAATGTGCAGGAAACTCGCAAAGCCGGCTATAGATTTTGTAAGCTAGCTATGGAGTCGGCTCTAAAAGTGTAAGCTGGCTGTGCTGACAATTCTGCAACTCAAATTATGTGCCTTGTAGAGCACTTAATAACCCCCAACAGTTAGCAACGGCTATTTTCGATCAAGTGGCTATAAATATAATTGGTAGCAGATTTGGAACAAGTTTGAAAAGCATTGTATTGAATATCTCTACGTACATACTTGTGCTTTAACTTGAGTTTTTAATCTTTGAGAGATCTTTACTTGTAATCCTCTTCTTGTTCTATTTGTGAGTGATCTTGGGGGTGTGATATTCCTTAAAAAGTGATTTGTTAAAAGGATTGTTTGGGTTCATCTTGTAAAGGGATGAGATTTGAGAGAAATACTCATCTTCTTGTAAAAGAATTAAGTGGCTCCTTTAAGCCACCCTCATTCTTGATAGTGGAGAGTGTGGAGGAAATCCTTGGTGAGTGAAGCCAAGGTAAAGGACTAGGCTCTAAGTGGTTAGACCGAACCTCTATAAAATCATTGAGCAAGCTCTTCTTCCTTACTCTCTTTAATTCTTTGTTTTGTAATTACAAAGAGAAGGAAATTTTTGAACTCTAATTCACCTCCTTCTTAGAGTGCATTGAGCCAACAATTTGAGGCAATTAAGATGTATCAAGCTACTATTTGAGCTGTCGGGTTGAAGGAACGATTCTGCCCACTCTATTCAGATCATATATGCTTTTTCTAGCTTTTGTAGACCAATATCGATCCATGTATCCCAACAACTTCCTAAACCTTCCTTACATGCTTTACTTTTCCATACTTATCCTTACTTTTCTTGTTTGCATTTAAGGACAAGTCTTATTTCCTACCATGCCATTATATTATTTCAAGGTCCTGATTTATGCCATTCACCCGCTTAGCATCGCAACAGGTGAATAAAGTTGATTACATGTCTCACATTAGTTAATAATAGCCCAACTACATATAAATCATAATCCATAAACACATTAGTTAAAGGTTATTAACTTTAATGTTGATTGCATGATGTTTAATAGTTTATGTTGTTGGGACTCGAGGTATCTAGTATGCATCAAGCCACGATTTGAGCCATCAAGCTTAGGGAACGATTATGGTCACCCTATCTAGACATAGATGGTTTGGGTAGTTTTTTCAGAAAAAATCAATTTGTATATTTTAGCAACTTCCAAGACCTTCCTCTCCTGTTTTAATTTTCCTTATTTTCCTTTTTTGCATTTAAGGACAAGACTCATTTCCTACAACATGATTATGTTTCTTCATAATCTTGATTAAGCCTTTCATCTGCTTAATGTCCCAATAGAATAATGGAGTCGATTATGCATCTCATATTGTTTACAAGTGGCCTAACTACATAAAACTCATAAACCTTAAACATAGTAGCTAAAGGTTGTTAACTTTAACGTTATGTTACATGGCATTCAAAAGCGTATGTTGTTGGGAGTTAGGTTAACAAGCCATGATTTGAGCCATTGGACCCAAGGAACAGTTTTCACTAACCTGTTAAACGGTGTATGGTCTAGATAACTTTTTTAGACCAATATCGATCCATATATCCCTACAACTTCCAGAACCTTCCTCTCATCCCTTACTCTTCCTTACTTTTTCTTTTCACATTTAAGGACAAGACACATTTCTCACAATGCGATTATGTTTCTTCAAGGTTCTAGTTTCTATTGTTCACCCGCTTAGCATCCTAAAAGTATAACAAAGTCAATTACATGTGTCATAGTAGTTAGTAGTGGCCCAACTATGTAAAAATCATAAACCATAAACACATTTGTTAAAGGTTATTAACTATAACGTTAGATTGCATGGTAAACTATAGTTAATGTAATTAGGATTCGAGGCATGTAGGATTTATCGAGGTACAATTTGAGTTGTCAGGCCTGGGAAACAATTTTGCCACCTAGTGTAGACCACAAATGGTCTAGATATTTTTTTTAGACTAATATCAGTTCGTATTTCCCAACAACTACCAAAACCTTCCTCTCCTAATTTATGTTTTCTTACTTTTCCTTTTTGCATTTAAGGATAAGACTTGTTTCTTTCTACACGATTATGTTTCTTCAATATCCTAATTTACGCCTTTCACTCACTCAACGTCCTAGTATGTAAACGAAATCAATTATGCTTCTTGCATTAGTTAATAGTGGCCTAACTATGGATACATTGTAAACCATAAGCACATTTGTTAAAGGTTATTAAATTTAATATTATGTTGTAAGGCATCCTAGTTGCCTTGAATCTCAAGAACATAAGCTACAATTTATGCCATTTGGTCCAAGGAACAATTCTGGCCACCATAGCTAAATTGTAGATGATCTAGATAGATTTTTCAAACTAAGATAGGTTTGTATATGCCCACAAGTTTTAGAACGATCCTCTCATCATTTACTTTCCTTACTTTCCTATTTTGCATTTAAGGACAAAGCTTGTTTATAACAACATGATTATATTTATTCAAGATCCTAGTTTTTTATAATTTACTTGCTTAGCACCTTAGTTTGTAAACAAGGTCGATTACGCGTCTTTTATTACTTAATGGTGACCTAACTACTAATAACTCATAAACCATAAACTCATTTGTTAAAGGATGTTAACTTTAATGTTACGTTGCATGGCATTCAATAGCTTATAATGTTGGGATTCAAGGTAACTAGGATGCATTTAGCCACAATTTGAGCCATTAAGCCTTGGGAACTATTCTTATCACCTTATTCTAACAGTAGATGGTCTAGATATCATTTTTAGATTTATATCAATCTATATATCCCAGCAACCTCCAGAACCTTCCTCTCTCCTTTTTCTTTTCCTTACTTTTCCATTTTGCATTTACAGATGAGATTCATTTCCCACAACACGATTTTGTTTTTTCAAGATCTTGGTTTTTATCATTCTCCCACTTAGTGCCCTAGCAAGTAAATGGAGTCAATTAGGTGTCTTACATTGGTTAATGGTGGCTTGACTACATATAACTCAAACCGTAAACACATTTGTTAAAGATTATTAACTTTAACGTTAGGTTGCATGATATTCAATATTTTTTGTTACTGGGATTTAGGGTGACTAAGATGCATCGTGCCACGAATTGAGCCATGGGACATGGGAAACGATTCTAGTCACCCTATCCAGACTATAAACAAGATAGATATTTTTTTATACTAATATCAGTCTGTATATCCTAACAACTTCCAAAATGTTCCCCCCATTATTTACTTTTCCTTTTAGCATTTAAGGAAAAGACTTGTTTCCCACAATGTGATTATGTTTCTTCAAGGTCTTGGTTTCTCCCATTCACCCGCTTAACATCCTAAAAGGCTAACAAAGTCAATTATGCATGTCATAGTGGTTAATAGCGACCCAAAAATCATAAACCATAAACATATTTGTTAAAGGTTATTAACTTTAACGTTAGATTGCAAGGCAATCTATAGTTTATGTTGGGATTTGGGGCATCTAGGATGCATCAAGCTACAATTTTAGTCATTGGGCTTAGGGAACAATTTTTCCTTCCCCATCCAAACCACAAATGATTCTAATTTTTTTTTAGACAAATATCAATCTGTATTTCCCAACAACTGCCAAAACCTTCCTTTCCAATTTTACTTTTTCTTACTTCTCCTTTTTACATTTAAGGAGAAGACTGTTTCCCATTATGCAACTATGTTTCTTCAAGGTCCTAGTGTATGATGTTCACCCGCTCAATGTCCTAACATGAAAATGAAATTGATTATGCATCTTGCTTTAGTTAATAGTGGCCCAACTATAGATAAATTGTAAACCATAAACACATTTGTTAAAGGTTATTAACTTTAACGTT